AATGGGGTCTTTTGAGCTTTTCAAAGAAACCTAAGTCAACAATTAATTTACAAAAAGGTGTGGAAGGTGCTAATTTATCTGAAAATGGAATAAATCAAGTGAAGCAGTTAATAGAATACTTATCTAAGGAACAAAGTAAATATAAATTTAATTATTTTACAGTATTTCATATTATGTTATAAAAAGTATTTAACTTTATAGAAGATATTTAAGTAATTCATTCATTCTTTTATTTCACACTTAAAAAATTTAAAGATATTATACAAGAAGGTATATTTCGACGTACTGGTAAACTTACAAGACAACAAGATTTGAAGACAGCAATGTATCAGGGCATTTCACTAGACCTCAATGATGGTCGATATAGTGTACATGATTGTGCATCAGTGTTAAAAGGATTTTTGGCTGAATTACCAGAACCATTATTGTCAGATTTACATTATCCTGCACATTGTCAAATTGCTGGTAAAGTATTTATAGAGCTATATAATTACATGTTTGTTTACATTTTTTTAATGTTTTTATACTTTGTAAATATCTTTTACAATTAACCTTTTTATAATATGAAATTTATTTGTATTTATTTTAGAGTTATGTAGTTCTGATGTAAATGGAAATGATGCAAAATTATTGAGATCTCTGCAATTACTTTTGTTACTTCTACCATCTATAAACAGAGTTTTACTTAAATATATTTTGAATCTCCTTAATAAGACAGCCAGTTTTGAATCTAATAATAAAATGAATTGTGATACACTTGCTACTCTTTTTACACCACACTTAATGTGTCCAAGGAAATTGTCACCAGAAGCTTTACATATTAATTCCCAAAATTTATCATGCTTGGTTGCTTTCATGATTAGAAAAGGAAATGAATTATTTGAAATTCCACCAAAATTAGCTACAGATATTAGAGCATATTGGGTCGAACAGGAAAGAAAATTACTAAGTCCTAAAAATACAGATGTAAGATTTTTCTTTTATAAATTGTATAATGCTAAATATTTTAATGCTGTAATTTAATTAATTATGTATGATTACAGTTAAATGAGTCTATACCAGATACAACAGGTACAGCACATACTGTCTTTAGTTTTGTAGATCACAAATTAACAGCAAAAGCAAACTCTACACAAGATACTCAAGCTGCTTTGGCACAACTCTATGCTCACATACAAGCTATGCCAGAATCAGCTAAAAAACGTAGACTTGTAAAACAATTTAATAAAGAAAATGGTCAAGGAACACCTAGGCAAGTTAAGCATTGTCGAACTAAAAGCCTTGGAGATTCGATTAAAAAGCATATATTCCAGAAAAAGATTTTGGGACACAAGAAGTTTGACATTAATATAGGTTGCAATATTACTAGATCAAGTAGTGAAGAAAATATACTGTCATCGGTAAGATATATGCAAAATACAGTTTTCTATAATCAGTGTATGTTAATTTATAACAGCATGTTCTTGCTTATAACGACAATTTGTTATTAATGTATTTTATTTGCATGTTTATTATTATGCAGAATCTAGAAAAGTCATTACTGCAAACAAAAGTGCTGCTTAGTAAATCTGATGATGAACTTAGTATAGAAAACTGTGATACAAATAATGACAGTTTTCTTCACACTAAACATATTAGTAATAGTACTGGTAGTCTTCATACTCCTACATTAAGAAGTTATAAAGACAAAAGGAAGGCCATATTGATGAGATTTGTAAATATAAAAGAGGAGCAAATGGATGACAAATATGACAATTGGAGTATAAATAAATCAGATAAAGGATCATATATAAATGAGTCTATAAATTCAAAGATAAGTGATACAAACACATCTTTGCAAGAACATTATAAAAGTAAGAAATTAGGGCTAGTTGATGATACTGCAACTAATACTGTTAGACTTTCTAGACAATTCAGTGAACCACCAGATATGTACTCCTCTCAAACTACTTTGTATGAAACCAGTGAAAATGAACTAGTCAGGCAAAATTCAGAACCTATATTTTCAGTATCAAAAACAACTGATGGAGAAATAGTTTCTTTTCCGAAATATTCTGAAGATAACGAGAAAAAATTAGAATATTCAAAAGTGGAATCGCACTCTGACAGTGCATGTGTTCACTTGTCCCCTATTGTAAAGAATAGACTTTGGAATGTATATGTTGCCCATACATCGACGCCATCGAATTTATTACGCAAAAGCTTAGTTACTAATGATTATATGTTAACTCCTATTACTAACAATGATAAGAGCATGAGCCCAATTACACAAAGTGCAACCAAAATGACAAAAGCTATGCAGGTATGTCTTTCTATTGCTTGTAATATTATTATTGTTTTTCACTTATTTTTATTGTCTTAATTCATACAAATAAATGGCATATAAAAAATATGTTCTTCATGGTTTAATAAATTTGTTTTTGTTTCACTTGTAATCATAATTGTATATTTATAATAAATTTAAATTAATAATTTTTCACATTGGTTACAGGAAACAATGATGACACCGCGATCTAGAAAACCAGTAATGATGGTTTCTGGATCAAATCTTTGCAATCTTGCTACCGTTAACAATAGTTGGAACTGTAGTACGTCTAATAACATACGCGCATCAAATCTTGATATTATTGGTCCAATAAACTGCACCTCAATTTTAGAAGAATCTCAAAAACCTAATAGTACAGACAACGAAATTGTGTATGGAGAAGTTATGGACTTGGAGGATAAAGAAAACCTCAATAAAAATGTAACAGAAAAGCGAAAATTTGTTACATCAATTGCAGATGACTGTTACGCAGTCAAACAGCAAAGTACTATGTCTATAACAAGCACATTTAGAGAATATTTATTGTCTAGAAGTGTGTTAACTGCTAGTCCTGTTGATCTCAGTTTTACATCACGTACAGGAGACTTTGAACAATCAGAATCTGACTTAAACATTTTAAATGAGGATGGTCTTTCTGAAAGCTTACTCTGTTGTTTAGATGGAAATCAACCAGAATCTGATACCTCCGGTATTGCGTCTGGTAGTACTAATAGCGCAAGTAATTCGTCGGAAAAGACTGATGAAATGGCAAGTTCACCGAGAAAACGAGCAACTAGTTTACAGCGCAATGATTCTAAAAGATCTGTAAAGGAAATTAGAACACTAAAAAGTGTCAAGGGACAAAGTTTTAAGCATAAGCAACTAAGCGAATCAACGTTAAATTCAGTGAAAGTAAAGAATACATTTCAAGAAACTTCATTTTGACACAGTGATATACTCACGGTACATGCTAAGATCAACGTATTTCAACACATTATGATGTTAATAATACGTTACCTTCTACATCCTCATGCACATTTTTTTATTTTAAAAATAACTTTTACATTTAAAAAAACAAATCAACAATTCAAAAACCTACAATATCGATAGGTTTGCAAGTAAAAAATTCTAAAGTATATTTTTATTATGTAAATTTTTATTTTAGAATCTCTATTGCTTGTGTTTTCACAATAAAAAAATAAATACATAAATATTTGAAACATTTAAATTCGTAATATTTAT